ATAATGAAGAACAAAGTTGGGGTACAGACACTCCCTGACCTCAAGACTTACTCTAAAGCTACAGTAATCAAGACAGTGTCATACTGGGGAAAGACTAGACAAATGGGTAGATGGGGCAGAATAGAGAACCCAGAAACAGGCCAACATGAATATGTCCAACTGACCTTTGACAAAAGAGCAAAGGCAATATGATGGAACAAAAATCGCTATTTCAACAAATGCTAGAAGTGAATTTAGACATAGAGCTTAACTCTATAAAAATGAGCTTGAAGTATATCATAGACCTAACTATAAAATGAAAAACTGTAACACTTTGAAGAGAGAACAAGAGAAATGACCTTAGGTATAGTGATGACTTTTTAGATACAATGCCAAAGGCATAGCCCATTAAATAAAGAATTGATAAGCTAAACGCCATTAAAACTAAAAACCTGTGCTCTAAGAAAGGCACTGTCAAGAGAATAAGACAAGCCACAGACTGAAGAAGATATTTTCAAAAGCCATACCTGACAAAGGTGTATATATCCAAAAATATACCAAAACTCTTAAAACTTATAAATGAGAAACTGAACAATCAAGTGAAAAACAGGCAAAAGATCTGATTGACACCTCACCAAAGAATATGGGGAATAAGCATATGAAAGGTTGCTCAACATGATATACCAATAAACTATTAAAAATGAAAGCAACAATGAGATACTACTCTACACCTATTAGAATGGCCAAAATCCAAAGCACACGAAATGTTGGCAAGGCTGTGGAGCAACAAAAACCCTCATTGGCTGGTGATGGGAATGTAAAGTAGTATAGCCACTTTGGAGAACAGTTTGGCAGTTTCTCACAGAACTAAACACGTCTTACCAAATAATCCAGCAATCATCCTCCTTGGCATTTACCCACATGAGTTCAAAACTTAAGTTTATGTAAAAACCTGCACATGAATTATAATAGTTTTATTTGTAATTGTTGAAACTTGGGGGAGAAGAAGAAATGCAAGATACTCAGTAGATGAGTGGATGAATAAATGGTGATACTTCTAGACAGTTACATATTATTGAGCAATAAAAAGAAATGAGCTCTGGACCTGATAGCTTGAAGATCACACTGGGCACATGTGCATGCATGCCCAGAGTCCCCAGGGGAGAATGGAGTAGAGGAATTGCAGGGTATCCATCTTCCCAGGAGATGATTTCTTAGCTTCTTCTCTCAGTCTCTCTGTCTCTCTCCAGAGAAAGTACACATCATATGGCTAAAACAAAAAACAAACAAACAAAAAGCAATGAGCTCTTAAGCCATGAAAAGCCATGTAGGAACCCTAAATACGTACTGCTAAGTGAAAGAATCCAATCTGAAAAGGTTACATACTGTATGAGCCCAACCATCTGACATTCTGGAACAGCAGATTTATGGAGATGATAAAATACTCAGTGATCACCAAGAGTTGGAGGGTAGGAAGGATAAATTGGAGCACGTGGGACGGGACCAGCAGTTGGTGTAATGGCTATGTTGCTGGACTCCCGTGTAGTCAACTGACCATGGTTCAAGTCCCAGACCCAGTGGCTTAAACTCATGCCGGGCATGTGTACCTGGGTGCCCAAGATCCCAAGAGGAGAAGGGCGTGCAGCATGGCCATCCCCCCTGGGGGGGTGATTTCTCACTTTCTTTCTGTCTGTCTGTCTCTCTCTTTCTGGCAAGCTCATGTGCCCTATAGCAAAAACCTCTCCCCCAAAACAAAGGTGGAGCACAGAGAATGGGTAGGGCAGAGAAACACATCAGTATGAAACTATAATTGTAGATACATCTCATGATATGTTTGTCAAAACCCATAGAATATACACCACCAAGAGTGATCCCTAATGTAAACTGGTTCTTCCACTGTAACAAATAAGCCACTGGGGTACAGGATTTTGATAATGGAGAAGGCTGTGAGCAATAGGAGCAGAGAATATATGCTAAATATCTTTACCTCTTGCTCAAAGTTGTCGTGAACCAAAACTGTTTCTAAAAAATAAAGTCTATTTTTTTAAACAATCTCAGCCCAAATTATATATTTTAAAAAGTACATAATGATGAAGTAAGGTTGATCCCAAGAATATAAGGATGAATCAATATCAGAAAACATCAGTGTAATTCGTCATATTAATACTGAATGAAAACACCAAAAAGGGTATGCTCTCATCAGATGTAGAGGAACTATTTAGTGCCAGGGCCAACAAGCGGCATAGTGGTTAAGGTGCTGGACTCCCGAATAGCCAACCACAGTTTGTGTCCTGGACCCAGTGGCTCATGCTCGGCACATGTTGTGTGTGCCCCAAATCCTAGGAGGAAAATGGAGGGGAAGGAATTGCAGTATGGCCATCCCCCCGGGGGGTGATTTCTCAATTTCCCTTTTACTGTCTCTGTCTCTCTAGCAAGTGCACATGCCCTATAGCAAAAATCTCATTTCTTTCTTTCTTTCTTTTTTTTTTTTTTAGTTATAGGGCAATGTGTGTTTGGCAGAGTGTTTGACAGAGAGAGACATGGTCATACCACAATCCGTCCTCCTCCATTTCTCCAACTTCTCAGGATCTTGGGCATGTACACACATGTATCGAGAGTTCAAGCCCCCAGGACTGGGGCTTGAACTGCAGTTGGACATGTACCATGCCTTAACCCACTGTGCTATGGAGCTAGCCCCTTTAAGGAGGAGTTTTTAATGCCCCATAAAAAAATATAAAAAGCAGGTGGTGTGGTAGTTAAGGGCACTGGACTCCCACATGGCCCACCAGGGTTCAAATCCCAGACTTATTGGCTTGCTTTCTCACTTTCCTCTCTCTCGCTCTGTCCCTCTCTGGCCAAATAAAATAAATAAATAAGAAATAAAAGCTAAATAAAATAATTTTAAAAAATAAATTTAAAAAATAAAAGAATATCTAAATAATTTCAGTGAAACAGCATATTTACAAGTGGGATATTTAACATCATAACACTATCAATTCTTCCTGAATTAAACTATACATTTAATATTATTCCAACAAAACCATCAGCTGGAATTTTGGGGGAACTCTGACAAAGTGATTCTAAAAGCTATATGGAAGAATGAAGTTTCATAAATATCTATGACCATTTTGACAAAGGAAGAGCAAAAAGAAAAGACCCCTCTTCTTTTGCCTGAAATCCAGAGGTTAACAAAGCCTAGTGATGTTTTTTCTGGTAAAGAGGCCGATACTCAGATCCTTGGACTCAGATCCATGACTTTATGGAACGTGATATATGTTAGGAATGAGGTGCCAGATGTGATGACATTTGGAAAAGTTGACTTACCATGTGGAAAAAATAAGAAATTAAAAAGGAGAGGAAAAAACCCTTTTAGCTATATTTGGATTAAATGCTCAAATGTGAAAGGTAAAACTAAAAGGCAATAGGAAAAAATGTAGCTGAGTATCTTTATGGCCTGGAGATGGAAGGATTTCACAAACAGGACTCAAAATGCACCAACTGTGAATACATGTCCCAACATCAAAGTAGCTATATAGGTACAGCAAGCACATCACAAAAGTTATCAGGGACGTGACGGACTGGAGTGAGAGAGTATTGAAAACTGATAAAGTGATTCATAGCTAGACAATCAAAGCTATTTCTGCACATCAGAGAGAAATCAGGAAACTCAGTAGGAAAAAAATGAGCCAAGTATATGAATAGGCAGTTCTCAGAAGGGAAAATCAAATAGTGAGCAATATATGAAGATAAGCTCAGCCTCATAAAAAAAAATCAGAAAAAGAAAATACGACTAGAATTAAATACCACTTTGGGAATTCATTTAACTCAACACTTTACATATACCACATTGACAAAAATTTCAAAGTCAGAAAAATACCAAGTCTTGGTAAAGAAATGAGAACCTCCATGTGTTCATTGTTGGAGTGTCAACTGGCTGTTAGCGGTCTGGCAGGATGCAATATAATATATATGCCCTAGATTCGAGCATGTCTGTGCATGTCTGGAGGTCTGGCAGGATGCAATATAATATATGAGTCTGCCCTAGATTCGAGCATGTCTGTGCATGTCTGTGTATTCAGAAACACTCTTAGACAGGCACACAAGAGGACATACAAGAGAATATTTGTTGCATCCTCGTTTGTGTTACCAAAGAGTTGGAAAGAACCTCTGTTGTCCCTTAGAGACTAGACAAGGGAGGGGTTTAAGCAGCAGTCTGAAGAAATGTCCTGAATTTATATACAGCAGCAAAATAGATATATCCCAGAAATGTGAAATAAAAAAAAAGTTAGAAAAAGCCTTAGATTTGTCTTCCAATATGTTTTATGAAAGCAACAAAGCAACACTATAATGTTCAAGGATTCATACATATGTCAAAGCAAACATTTAAAAAGTGAATTAGAGGAGCCAGCAGATGGCGTAATGGCTACGTCGCTGGACTCCCATGTAGTCGACTGTGGTTCAAGTCCCAGACTCCGTGACTTAAAACTCACACCAGGTGCGTGTGCCTGCGTGCTCAAGATCCCGAGAGGAGAATGGAGGAGACAGGATTGCCACGTGGCCATCCCCCCTGGGGGGTGATTTCTCACTTTCTTTCTCTCTGTCTCTCTCTGTCTTTCTGGGGAGCACACACTCCCTATAGCAAAAACCTCTCCAGAAAAAAAAAAAAGGTGAATTAGAAGGATGCATGCACTGGAGTTGGCACTTTTGGGGGCACAGGATGAAAAGAGGAATGGAAGATAAAGGGAAAAAGAATTCTACAAATAATACTATACCTTGCACAAGCTGATGATATTGGTTCTCCACGACCTGAGAAGTAAGATAGACTTAAGTCTGTGGCCCCAAGTCCTTAAAAATAAATACTGGGTCATCGAAAAAGTCATGACGTATTTTTCTATGCAAATATGTGTCATGATTTTTCTGACGACCCGACAAATTCCTCTAAAACTCTATTCTGTTGAGCTAAGGTTTTTTCTGTCTTTACCCACTCTGATGCTGTCCCTTCTCTTTTATCCCTCCTAAAGGGCTGCTGGCTCCTCATGAGGTCTCTGCAAACTCAGAGGGCATCGACAAAATGGTGGTGACTTGGCAGCCTCCTAGGAAAGCCGCCTCTGCCGTTCGGGAGTATGTGGTGGAATGGAGGGAGCTCCATCCAGGGACTGACACACAGCCTCCTCTAAACTGGCTGCGAAGGCCCCCCTCCAGTCTGTCTGCCCTGATTTCAGGTACTAATTTAATTGTCCACCTTTCTTCTGGAGGCCTAAGTTCACATTTGTTTGGGAAACTGCTGACAGGAACTCAGAACCCTGCCTTCAACTACAGGTAGGTGATAAGCGAGACGGTGATGATCTAGAGCCTGCTGAGGCAGAACCTCAAAGTCCCACGGCCGCTGTGGAAGCACAACTGGGAGACTAAAACACCAGTATTTATGGAAAACCCATGACCCACAGTGCCAATAAGAAGATAAATCATTGGATCAAACAATTGGACCAAACAAGTACGGCTGAGTGCCAAGTAACTTCTCGGTGTGATAGGCACCTTTATCTTTGGAAATTCATTTAACACAGAATAAATCACATGCAGTAAAAGTCATTATGCCTGGGCAGCCTGTGGCTTGGTGGTTAAGAAAGCTGGATCCCACATGGCCAATTGCACAGTTCAAGTTCTGGACCCAGCAGCTTAAAAACATGCTGAGTGCATGTATGTGTGTGCTCAAAATCCAGAAAAGAAGGGAAAATGAAGGAAAAGAGATTGCAGTGTGACCATTCCCTGGGCAGGGGAGTGTTTTCTCCCATCTCTCTCTCTCTGGTGAGCATGCATGCCCTCTGGCAAATTAAAAAAGAAATTCACTATGCCCGTTATACAGATGAGGAAGGAAGGTATTTCATTTCCAATTCTGCTATTAGTTGTGTGATAATCAATCCAGAGTTGTCCACATGATAACTGGTGTCTTGAATCCTCAGGTTCCTAATCTGTCAGTCGTTAAGATCAACTGGTTAGAATCAAGTGAGAAAAAGCATCTGCTGTCCTGATTTCAGGTACTAATTTAATTGTCCACCTTTCTTCTGGAGGCCTAAGTTCACATTTGTTTGGGAAACTGCTGACGGGAACTCAGAACCCTGCCTTCAACTATAGGTAGGTGATAAGCGAGACGGTAATGATCTAGAGCCCACTAAGGCAGAACCTCAAAGTCCCACGGCCGCTGTGGAAGCACAACTGGGAGACTAAAACACCAGTATTTATGGAAAACCCATGACCCACAGTGCCAATAAGAAGATAAATCATTGGATCAAACAATTGGACCAAACAAGTACGGCTGAGTGCCAAGTAACTTCTCGGTGTGATAGGCACCTTTATCTTTGGAAATTCATTTAACACAGAATAAATCACATGCAGTAAAAGTCATTATGCCTGGGCAGCCTGTGGCTTGGTGGTTAAGAAAGCTGGATCCCACATGGCCAATTGCACAGTTCAAGTTCTGGACCCAGCAGCTTAAAAACATGCTGAGTGCATGTATGTGTGTGCTCAAAATCCAGAAAAGAAGGGAAAATGAAGGAAAAGAGATTGCAGTGTGACCATTCCCTGGGCAGGGGAGTGTTTTCTCCCATCTCTCTCTCTCTGGTGAGCATGCATGCCCTCTGGCAAATTAAAAAAGAAATTCACTATGCCCGTTATACAGATGAGGAAGGAAGGTATTTCATTTCCAATTCTGCTATTAGTTGTGTGATAATCAATCCAGAGTTGTCCACATGATAACTGGTGTCTTGAATCCTCAGGTTCCTAATCTGTCAGTCGTTAAGATCAACTGGTTAGAATCAAGTGAGAAAAAGCATCTGGAAACTTATTAAAATGCTCACACGGAGTTTAGTTAATGTGATTTTAAGCATAAGTGTAGTATGGTAGTTGAAAGTTCTGGTTCTGCCGCCATTCTAGGTTGAGTCCTGGCTCTATGGCTAATAGTTGTGTGATCCAGGGCAGATGTACTTAACGTCTCTATGCCTCCATTTCCTCATCCATAAAATGGGGGCAGTAATATTACCTACCTCATTGGGTTATTGTGAGAACTAACTGCATTAACTTGGGAAAATGTTTTAAATGGTGTCTAACACATTTTAAGTGCTCACACATTAAGTTAAATGCAACAGAGCTAAAATTTCAATAGATGTTCAAGCTCTACATCCCCTAATAGTTTATTACACCATGACAGTCATTGCACCTGTCAAAGAGAATATATGTGCTCTGCCTAAGGAGACAAGATGCGTACAGGTGAAATATACAGAGCAGACCTCATGGTAATGTAGGGGTCTGACCTTCGCTGCATGCCTCTTCCATAACCACGCCGCTCAGCCTTCCTATAGGTTAAGTTGTAATCACGGCCCTTAAAGGGAATACTGCCTAGATAATGCAGCAGGCATCTAGAGCAAGATGATTAAGTCACTGGGAATCTGGAACTTTTTTTAAATTGTGAGATGCTATATGTGCCCGCCAGAAAGAGACAGAGAGATGGAGGGAGAAAGTACTCCCCAATGGGGTGTGGTCATGCTCCCATTCCTTCTCCGTTTCTCCATCCTGTCATGGTTGTTTCGTGGTTGGCCGTGTGGGATCCAACTCCCTTATCCACTAGGCTATAGGACTGGCCTGAGGGAACCTGGAACGTTTAACCTAGAAATCATTTAAGCTATAGAAGAGAGTGTTCGATGGGTGTGGGTTTGAGGTGGCTTGATGGCTATTGCTGGTTTTGATGTGTACATGTGAAAGAGCATCCTTCTCTTGTTCTTCTGGGGAGCACTGAGGCCCTGAATGGATCATAAGAAGGTGGTTATAAGTTCAATTCAAGAAAGAATTTTTCTGCCTTTAATGCTCTCTAATAGGACCATCGATTGATTACCTCTCAAGGCAGTGAGTTCCCTATCTTCAGTGTTTTTACAGTAGAACCAGTTTTCCTTCGGGATTGCTATGCCCATCAAATCAGATGAAACAACGGGTAGAAAAAGCATTCACTGACCTATAAACTGCCTTGAAATTGTAAACACTTACTATTAACTGTATCAGGACTACCCCTGTGGGATAGTTTGAATTATGTGGTCCCCAGTTCCTGCCTTTTATAAATTCTGTAATTCTATACAAATACTATAAAATAGATGACAAGAGAGAATGGTCTCCATACTTAGTCATTTTTTAAAATTCTTTTCTTTTTATCATACATAATATATATATGTATTTTTTAAGTTGTAATTTCTGGCTTCCATATATTTAATATATATCTTGAGGGTACAGTATGGTTTTGTTTTATTTAATTTGCTATTGGACATGTGCATTCACCGGGGAAAGACAGAGAGAGAAAGAGTGATAAAGCGCCCCTATGGGGGATGGCCACACTGCAGTCTCAAATCCTCCATTCTCCTCTTGGGATTTTGAGCATGAATGCATGTGCACCCAGTGTGTTTCTTAAGCCACTGGGTTCAGGACTCGAACTGCACAGTAGGCCATGTAGGTTTCAGCTGCCTCAACCACCAAGCCACTGGCTGGCCCCTACTATGATCTTTGGTTTGATTTGGTTTGGTTTTAGGTTTTTGCCATAGGATGTGTGCACTCACTGGAGAGAGATATAGAAAGATGGTGAGAGGAAAAGTGAGAAATCCCCCCACTGGGGGCATGGCCATGCTGCAAATCCCTTCTCTTCCTGGAAGTCCAGGTATGCATGCACCACACCCAGTTTGATTTTCAAACTGCTGGGTCTGGGACTTTAACTATGATCAGCCATGTGGGAGTCCAGCATGTGGGAGTCCAGTACCTTAACTACCATGCCATCTACTGGCCCCCTAGTCTGGTTTCTTAAAGCATGCATGCAGTGTACTAATCAAATCTAGCATATACACCTATTTGTCTTCTTCAACATTAAACATTAAATTGTGTTGTGTACATTTGACAGTAGTTCTACTAGCTTTTTCTTTATTGAACCTGTATTAAATTGTCCATATTTTTAACTCTGCAGTGGTACACTGTCCCATAGCCTCTCCCCTTATTGGCGTGCATCTTGTGTCCACTAAAAAATTTCCCAGGAGGCCAGCAGGTGGCATAGTAGTTAAGGGGCTTGACTCCCACATGGCTGAACAAAGTTTGAGTCCTGGACTTGGTGGCTTGAAAATCATGCTGTGTGTGTGTGTGCCCCAAATCTCAAGAGGTGAATAGAAGAGAATGGGTTGTAGTGTGGCCATCCCTCCTGGGGGGAAGGGGAGTGGTTTCTCATTTTCCCTCTCCTTGTCTCTCTCTGACTCTCTCCAGTGAGCACACATGCTCTAAGGCAAAAAAAAAAAAAAACAATTCTCATGAATCCCAAACCCACTGTCCCATGCCACTTTTAGTATTTACCATTGCTTCCTCTATTTCTGGGCTTTTAAGTCCTTCAGTTTCTGCCATAGACGTGGACATTGGCTATATGTTAAGTGGGGATATATGGTATTTGTCTTTCATAGCCTGACTTATTTCACTTAAAATTATTTCTTCTAGATTCATCTACCTGTGTCAGATGACAGGATGTTGTTCTTTATGACTGAGAAGTAATCCATTACATATGTACTGTATAGATCAATATACTAATGAGTAAAATAACTTCATTAAAGTTACCGTTTGGAAATATTTGACTGATGATTAGTGTAAGCTAATGCTACATTGTAGAAATAAACATTTAAATGTTATATACCTGATGTTTATTATGAATTCCAAATGGCCCTCTTCAGTCAGTAAGATTATTTATTGCCATTTTTTCCTCACCAGCCTTTTCCCAGCATCTGGCTGGGGCAGATTTGAGCATTTAGGAATGGGAATGGGCCAGAACCTAACCCAGTTTCTGGATTGTAGGTGAGGAGACCTAGGCTGTAGACCATCGGTCCTGTTCCATCTGGGTAAAAATGCTTCTGAACTTGTAGAACCACTCCTTTTACAAATATGTGATATCACGTCGCCTTGGAAACCTTCCCTGATGCCTAGAATAGTTGGGGCCTTCTTCTGCATGTTCTTATCTTATTACCTTTAGGATCACTTCTTATTACTGAGCGCTTAATGTATGCTTTCTCCTACACTTGAAGTGTGAAGTTAGCTTTCAGCAGAAAGATCACCTAAGACATGTGTTATAAACGTGAAGATGAGGCCTTTACCCAAGAGTGCCAGGTGTATTTGTATTGGAGTGCTGAAAAATAAGCCTGGACTACTGAAAGAAAATGAAGGTCTTAGGAATGTGGGCTTCATCCATTGAAGGTTTTTGACGTGGGGAGCAGACATGATTAGAGAGCATTCTTATAAGAATCAGTCAGTAAAACAGGAGTCCTTAAGACCAGAACCAGGGAACATGCTTCCTAGCAGGTCTAGTATGGCAGAAAGGAAAATGCCATTTGAGTTATGGAGCAGTTTTGTCTTCCCTCTTCCACTAAAGGTAGACGATTCACAAGCAGAAATCCATGGTTTCTGATGTAGCAGTTTCCAAAGCTTTTGTCCTGAACTCAGATTGTGCATAGCAGAATGCAATGGAGCCATTTTCCTGGTGAGCTTATCTGCAACTCCATAGCAATTAGTTGACCCTTCCATGACCAAGGGCAGAAAGGCTAGGTACTGGGAGCAGAAAGCTACTCACCAAACCTTTCCAGTGAAATATGAATCCACGTTCCATGTTGCCCTTTGGGCTTCTGAGTCTTGATGCCACTCACAAGGAATGTTTGGATTATGGGACTGAGCTGACTGTGTCCTTTTTCCATTCCACTTGGTTCATGAACTCAAATTGGAACTTATCCATGGCATGTGTTTTGATCTTATCACAATCTCTTCTGACAGCATGTACTGTTGCATGACAAAGCTGTATGTGCTGTCACTGGCTGGAATAGGTGAGGGACAATGGATTTTCATATAAGACATGCACAGTTTAGTAAATTATTCCGTGCTATCAATGTTCTCCCCCATCACACACACAAAATAGTAAACCCTAATCAATTATAGGTGTAAGACACCCTAGCTACCTATTGGCAGTCAATTAAACGATATTGGAAAGAGTCCTTCCTTTGACCACTGACATTATAATTACCTAGAAGGGTTATCTCTTTTTTTCCTTTAAATTTGCCTTTGAAATATAAAGATCTGTTGTGGATAGTATCCATGAGAGGGCCTTTATTTTGTAGGCAGCAGAAATCTGAGATTTGAGCTAGCAGTGGCTGGATCCCACATGGCCAATTGTGCAATTTAATTTCTGAACCCAAGAGCTGGATAAACATGCCAGGCATGTGTGCATGTGTGCCCAAAATCCCAAAAGGAGAAATGGAAGAGAGGAGATTGTAGTATGGCCATCTCCCACGGGGAGGTGCTTTCTTACTTTCTCTCTCTCTTTTTCTCCCTGGTGGGTACATGAGCCCTCTGACAAATTTAAAATGAAAGAAGAAAGGATGAAATCTGAGATTCAGGGAGATAAGAAGTTTTAGAAGGGCAGAGGAACTGGCCAAGAGCTTCATGACTGACAAAAAATGGCAAAGTGTGGTCCCAGATATCTTCCGAATCTTCCAGGCTGTGAAGCAGCTGAGATCTAACAGGAACAAGTGGTCAGGTTGCACTGAGCATGCCCAGGTTAGTCAGGCCTGGCTGTGTCATCCAGCCTGCTCTCTCAGCTCTCAATAAGCATCTTGGAATTCAAAAAGCCATTCAGGTTCTATGCCTGCAAATCTCCAGGCTCACTGTCTTATAGCGGCAAATTATTTATTCCTAGAAGTCAAAGATTTTTGCTTAAAGACAAGTTGTTGTTGTTGTTGTTGTTGTTGTTGTTTCCAAAAGCAGTCTGTGCTGCTTTTGTGTTTGTATGGTTATATTGAAATCCTCCTTGGAACTTGAATAGCTTTTGTCTCCTTCTTAATCATAATGACCCTGTTTGTTCATATGGAAAGGAATTCAAGTTGCTTGTTTTTGGGGGGATTTTTTTTTTTTTAATCTTTTTTGGAAGTCGGAATCAGTGACTTCTAGAACTCACATCATGAGTGAGTTGGCCAACAGGATGCTGAGAATTTGTAACTTAGATCATTCCTTGATTCTCAATGCAGTCCGTGCTTGAACCATCTTCAAACTAAGACAAGGCAAGAAGTGCCTGAAATGCACCCATATCAGATATTAAAATGGTTCCATTAGTGACTCAACGTGTACTGGTGTACCAGTGGCACCCCTGTTAAGAGAACTCCTTTGCTTGCAGAGAACATAAAACCCTACGTCTGTTATGAAATCCGTGTATGTGCCCTGTCAGGGGATCAAGGAGGATGCAGCTCCATCCTGGGTAACTCCAAGCATAAAGGTGAGTCTTAAGACCTTTCACCAAAATTTGCTTTAGTCTAAAGATTTGCGTTTAGAGGGTGACAAAAGCCTCTTGTATCCTACTTCTCAGCACCACTGAGTGGCCCTCAGATTAATGCCATCACAGAGGAAAAGGGGAGTGTTTTAATTTCGTGGAACAACATTCCAGCCCAGGAGCACATGGGGTGCATCCTCCGTTACAGGATCTACTGGAAGGAACGAGACTCTGATGCCCAGCCTCAGTTCTGCGGTATGTGTGAGCCCGAATGTAGTGGGCCCTTCTTATGTGGATGTCAGGAAGCACACGCGTGTGCACGTACAGACACACCCATAGTGCTAGCACCATGCCTGGCACTTCTTAATAGTGAGTGTGAGATTATTGGAGTGAAAAAGTGAAAGACATCTAAATACACACATGGGAGCTATTGGGTAGGTGTTATGTGCCAAGCAAATTGTGAAGGAGACAGAAATGAAGGAAATGGACGAGGCTCTCTCGGTGCGACAAAGCGGTCCAGGCACTTCAATCCCGTATGGCCCCTTGAGGTTCACAAGAAATGCATTTGGAGAACTTTAAGATCCCTACATTTGCAATTATGGTCACAGTATATTATATTTTCCGTAAGGTAGATAAAATATAACATGGCGTAGGTAAGAATCTATGACCCATAATTATTCTGTAACTGTAAAACCAAAGCAATTAAACTCAGGCTAGAGCATGGGCTCCAATGGTTTTTATGAATTACTTGATCACAGAGCACCTCCAAGTCCCTTTGCCAGACTTGATGTTCCTAGCTTTGATTTATTCAGAACTTTATTTCCCCTTCTACTTGGCTTTCCCTATGTTTTGAAAGCAGCTGGGGTTTTTTTGGGGAACATTTGTCATAAAAAAGAAATATTTTTATTCCTTCATGTCTGTTACTAGGACAAAAAGAATGTAACGAGCTGCCCTGAGATAGCTGCCTGAACTAGTGTTTCTACCTGGGAAACTTTAGGAATGGACCTTCTTCCTTGACCTTAGATAATTTGCAGTACTGCTTTTCTAAAAATGATAACTTTATTAGCTGTGGTAATAAATTCAAATTGTTCAGGGAACCAGCAGTTAGCATAATGGCTATGTCGCTGCACTCCCACGTAGTCGATCGCGGTTCGCGTCCCGGATCCGGTGGCTTAAAACTCACGCCGGGCGCTTGTGCATGCGTGCCCAAGATCCCGAGAGGAGAATGGAGAAGGGATTGCGGTGTGACCATCCCCCCTGGGTGGTGATTTCTCGCTTTCTGTCTCTATGTTTCTCTCTGTCTGTCTGGCGAGCGCACGTACCCTATAGTAAAAACCTCTCCAAAAAAAAAATTAATTAAAAAATAAGTAAATAAATTCAAGTTGTTCATGGGGAAAAAAACACATTCACACCGTTTATGAAGATGAAAGATGAAAAATTTCCCCTTTCTTCAGCATAGGCTCTTAATGGTTTCTTGTTTGTTCTTCCAGGGGGAAAAACTCCATATATACACATCTTTTGCTATATTCTGATCTATACCTTGCTTTTACCTCTTAATAATAACACTGGGAACCAGCAGGTGATGTAATAGTTATATTGCTGGACTCCCATGGAGTTGACCACAGTTCAAGACCCAGACCCAAGAACTTAAAACTCACTTTGGGTGTGTGTGCATGTGTGCTCAAAATCCCAAGACGAGAATGGAGGAAAAGGGATTGCAGTGTGGCCATCTCCCCCAGGGGTTGACTTCTCACTTTCTGTCTCTATCTCCCTGGTGAACACATGTGCCCTATAGCAAAAATCTCTCTCTAAAATAATAATAATTATAATAATACACACTGGAGCTCTTCCCACATCAATCCGTGTGTATTTAGTGTTTTTATTTAACAGCTTTGTACTATTCCATTGTCAGTACTTTATAATAATTCGTTTAACTGATCTACCATTGATAAACAGAATGTATCACCGGGTAGAACTGCTTCCCTTTGGAAAAAGTGACAAATCAATTGACCTCCTCTCGGGCCATTTGGAATTTTTCATATGAAATTTGCTTTCAAACTAATTTTCATTACAGCAGAGCTTAAAATGACATGTGTCTACAACCAGATTCATCAACACGGTCACTTGGCCCTTGATCCTGACAAAAATACATTCCTTATTTTGCCACACATTTGATGAATCAAAAGTCTATGTAAAGGTATTTTAAAGGGGAGAGAGTGATACAGACTCAGTGCTACATTACACCAATCTAGATTAAATTTGCACTGGATTCTGTAAGCATGTGCTGATGACCAAAATCTGTATCCTGTTTTCAGGGAGCTCAAGGTCTCCTGGGGTGGGGGGAAACGGGGGGCGGATAGAGAAGTACACAAGACTGATATAACTTTTACTGCTAAGACTTACAACTACCCATTGCATTTGGCAACCAGAAATCATTGGAGAACTCTGAGAGACAATTTCTAGAGAGTGGTAGGAGGCAGTAGGGTGAGCAGGAGGGAGAGAGGCACCAGGAAAGAGGCATCAGAGGAAGCTCCACCCGGACAGTGTTGAGGAGATAGGGGTTCCTTCTCACCTGCGTGCGGCACCATTCCCCAGGCAGCAGTGCTAAAGTCACAGGCAGGGGGCAGTAGAAGCAAAACCCAACGGGCTAACCCCGCCTAAGCAGGGGAGGTGAGCTGTAGAACCAGCTGTGGCCCAGGCATTCGTATTTAACAAATCCCACGGGTGACTGTTACACAGCCACTTTTCCAAGGTCTGTTGATACCGCCTGCACCAATGGCAAGCACCCTTCTCTAATGGAGAAAAAGTAATAATACACACTGGAGCTCTTCCCACCTCAATCCATGTGGATTTAGCTTTTTTTTATATTTTTGGCACACTACTGTGTCACTACCTGGTTGTCTTTGTCAGCAGGCTCCAAGCATAAGGGCAGAATCATGGCCATTTGCTCACCACTGCCTCCCCTATGTCAATTGGGTCGTTGGAAAAGTCATGACATATTTTTCTATGCAAAACTGCCTCATGACTTTCCCCGTGACCCAAGAGAAGACAGCCAGGCACGTGGCAGGTACTTAATAAAAACAGTATTTGTTGGATAACAAATGGGTGACTATTGCCCTACCCTTTGTTAAACCCAATGTAGATCCTTAGCTTAGACACTCACTTCAGTAACAGTGTAGCTATTTCGCTTGGTACTACTTGGCATTCCTACCTAGCTTTTCAGATGATGGGCAACTATCCCATCTTCCTCACCTGGTGCCTTTATCTTTCTAACAGAGTCTAAAGTTTCGGACAGCCAAGGATTGAATGGTCTCCTTTATCTCTGCCTTAGATCTCAGCCCGGAGGTAGCAGGACCAGTATTTCCTGCTTGACTTCTTGACTTCTTTCTCCTGTTAACAACTCAGCCTTTTTGCCAACCAAACTGCTGACGCTATCACCCTCCTCACTGCTCTTCTCCCCACCCCCCAGTAGAGTTTCTATTTCCGTTCTTCCAATACACCTCTGTGTGTGTGTGTGTGTGTGTGTGTGTGAGTGAGTAAACTTTATCAGCCCAGCCAGCCCACCAATCCCTTCCCTTCTGTTCCAGTGTCTCCTCTCCCTCCCAGAGCTAAGGATGCTCATCCACAGTTGCACAGTTGATTCCCGGTGCTCGTTGATGTTTTGCTGTGGTGAGATGAGCAGAAGGTCTTGCTAAAATTAATTTTTAAATCCCCTGCCTTAGGAATAGGGAGTTGTTTGAGCTCAACCCTACAGCTTAGGTCTGTGCAAGTAATTTCACCAGAGTAGGGTAGACTTGCAAATTTTCCATAAGGTACTTTCCTCAACGGGATGTAAAATATAGAAATGGCTCCATAGTCTCAGCTGTTAAAGTGTCTGCCCAGGCCTCAGCTCCTTCAGGCAGAGTGAGGTCATATTACAGGGCTCCATCTAGCTGGCTACTAGAGAAAGCAGGGGAGGGGTGGGATCATGCGAGGGGTCTGTTTTCCCTGCTAGATAGTGGATTTGTGGCACACTCTGTGCCTATGTATGGTCTGGGACTAGCACTCCATAAATATTTGTGATGTAGAAATCAATTCAGGCAGCAGGGCATTATCTGACTTGCCTGGAAGACACAGAGAGCTGAGTTCTAATTTTCACTTGGCTCACCAGCCCAGGTGCACGCGGGCTGAATGTGTGAGTAGGCTGCTCCTCCTGAAGTCCTGGCCTTGATTTACAGCCTCCCCAGCTTTTGAGCAGTCACTTCAAAACCCACACCTAGCAGCTCACTGAAGGGGAAGATTGCCTATTTACCAAAGGCTGCGGATGGACACTCGTATCTCTTGGAGGAGAAAAACAGCACCAGTGCATTTCTCAAAACACAAAATCTTCCCTGCAAGGAAAACAGCAGGGTGTGGAGAGTCCAAGGAACCGATAATCTAGGTTTTAGGCTGCCAATCCATTTATTCTAAGTATCATTGCTCTGGTTTTTTAAATGATTTTATGTCAAGTTGAGCAGATCACCATAATAAGCCCTGTAAGCTCAGGATCCAGAACCCACAAAAAAGAAAAAGGCAAAATCAAAATATAAACATGTTAAGTGTCTATTTCATTAACTGCTCAACTTACCTTTCTTAAAAATCCCATTAGCTACAAAATAATTGGTCCATTTAATTTCCCCTTCAATTCTCAATTATAACTGATTATACAAGAAACATTATTATAGTCATAGGAAATAAGAGGAATTACTACAGTTAAATAATTTCAAATGCAAAATGACAAAAATTCTTTCAAAAGATTTTACCACTGGAAAGAAATACTTAATTTGTTTGATATGCTGTGGAGTGGGACCTTCATAAATGACAGTGTCTGGAACCTATTAAAGTATTAAGTGCTGATGAATGAGGACTATTTTAGAACAGCAACATACATTTCCCTTCCAAATTAAATGAAACAATCAATAAAAATGAGCAAAAGCCCCCATTCCGCCATTTCCTTTAACACATGCCTTTCTTCCTCTATCTTCCTTTTAGAAATTCCCCACAGAGTCTCCCAAAATTCCCACCCAATAAATAGCCTGCAGCCCGAAGTGACATATGTCCTATGGATGACAGCTCTGACAGCTGCTGGTGAGAGTCCCCAGGGGAACGAAAGGGAATTTTGTCTACAAGGTAAGAGACAACATTAAAGATGGTGCGCTCCCCTGGATTTTTTCTTTTTTTTTTTTTTTTAAGGTTTTTGCTTTAGGGCTTGAGCAGTTACTGGAGAGAGAGTGAGACCGAGATAGTGAGATAGAAAGTAAGAAATCACCCCCTAGGGGGAATGGCCATGCCACAATCCCTTCTTTTCCATTCTCTTTCTGGGATCTTGGGCACGCAATCACATGCGCCTGATGTGATTTTCAAGTCATTGGGTCCAGGACTCAAAATAGCACGGGTCCATGTGGGAGTCCAGTAATGCAGCCACTCTGCCACCTCCTGGCTCCGTCCCCCTGGGTTTTCACACAGCCCATACACTCTCATTATATTTGGCATGGAGATGATCGGATTGTTTTCAGGTCGCTAATTACTTTCTTGTTGCCACACCTTGGCTCACGCTGTTTCTTCTAACCGCAGTGCCTTATCACTCCACTGTCTGCTTAGAGACTGTGTCCACTCATCTTTAAAAACAAAAACGCAGTCAAAATACTTCCTCCTCCAGGAAGCATTCCCAAATACACATCCACATCTCCTCTGTAATGCACTACATTTGACCCCTACTCAAAATTCCAAATCCAGGGACCAGCAGTTAGCGTAATAGCTATGTTGCTGGACTCCCATGTAGTTGACTGTGGTTTGAGTCCCAGACCCGGTGGCTTAAACTCACACTGGGTGCATGTGCATGCGTGCCCAAGATCCCAAGAGAAGAATGGAGGAGAAGGGATTGCGGCGTGGCCATCCCCCCTGGGGGATGATTTCTCACTTTCTGTCTCTCTCTTTTTGGCGAGTGCTCACTCCCTACAGCAAAAACCTCTCCAAGAAAAAAAAAAAAAATTCCAAATCCAGTAGACAGGAACTGATACCTGTTTGTCTGTGTCTTCAAGGCCTCGAATGGTGCCCAGCACATGCTAGTACTCTCTAAATAGCTATTCCCTGATGAGAATCACATCGACAATAACCACAGCAGCCAAGACAGTATCAGGTAATTACGAGACACCCCTGCCAGTCAGTACTTTGCAGACCACATTAGCTGGCTGAGGCTGTTGTAACGAAGTACCATGACTATATGGTTTCACTGAAAGAAATGTATTCTCTCACAGTTCTAGATGAGGCTAGAAGTCCAAGACCAAGGAGTCAGCCAAGTTGGTTCCTTTTGAGGACCGTGAGAGAGGTCTCTTTCTCCTAGTTTCTAATAGTCTGCAGTCATTCGTTGATGGTCCTTGTCCTGTAGATCTCTTTATCGAGCATTCTCCCTATGTCTGAATTTTCTCCTTCACTTCTTTTTTTAAGGTTTTTGCCACAGGGCGCATACACTCACCAGAGAGAAACAGAAAGAGACAGAGACAGGGAAAGTGAGAAATCACCCCTCACGGAGATGACTAATTTGCTAATTTATCCTGCCACAATCCCTTCTCCTCCAGTCTCTTCTCAGGATTTTGGGCATGAACACACACACACGCCCTGTGTGACTTTCAAGCCATGGGGTCCAGGATTTGAACCATGGTTGGCTATGTGGGAGTCCAGCACCCACCATGCCCTTTCTTTCTTTCTTTCTTCTTTCTTTCTTTCTTTCTTTTTTTTTTTTTTTAAGGTTTTAAAGGTTTGCCTTAGGGCACATGTGCTTGCTGGAGAGGGACAGACAGACACAGGGAGAGGCAAAGTGAGAAATCACTCCACAGGGAGGGTGTGATCCCTTCTCCTCCATTCAGCTCTCTGGGTCCTGAGCGTGCATACACATGCGCCTGGTGTGATTTTCAAGCTGCCAGTTCTGGGACTTGAACCAACATGGTTGACCATGTTGGAGTCCAGCGATGTAACTGCTATGCCATCTGCTGCCCCATCCTCTTCTTTGTTTTTAAACAGGATCTCCCTTTTACAGCCTTCCTGCCTCGGCCTCCCAGATCACTGGGGATAGGCGCATGCCATTGTGCCTGGCTTTTCAGGGTGGGCCCAGAACCAAACCCAGCGCCCATGCAGCCCAGGCCTGTGAAACACAGCACTAGCCGCACGTGCCACCACAGCTGAGCCCAGGCATTCTCCTTTTTATTAGGACCTCGGGTGTGCTGGATTAGGGCCCAGTCTACTCCAGTATGACCTCATCTTACTAACTATGTCAGCAATGATCCTGTTTTCAAGTAAGGTCACCTATTGAGGCACTGGGGTTAGAACTTCCACATAAGGATTTAGGGGACACACATTTCAACCCATAACACACACACGTGCTAATTCATCCTGACCAAAATCACATGATTTTTTCCCCCGGTTGTACTATTACTATCAGGCAATATTCAATACGAAATGAACAAAAAATGAGGATTACATGCCTTTTGACAAGTGAGGGAACTTAAGATGCAGAGAATTCACCGAAGGCCATGCAGGGTAAGTGGCAGGAGGACAAATCAGACTCGGAGCTGCGTTCCTAAGGGTGAGACCAGTTTGAGAATATGACCCAGCTAGCATGGGCTTCTCTCTGCCAGCCAAGTTCTCTCTGGCAATGCTCATCTGCATCTGCTCTGAGCATAAAACAAGCTGTTCTTGCTTTGTGACATGGAGTATCGGGTTGACCATTCAGGGCTCTGTTGTTCCATGCCAGGAAACTCTCCTCTGGGAGAACTGACAAGCCCTGGTCTCATCTCCCCAGCACTTGCATGAAAGTGACCTTGGGAGCAATTAAGGTGGATTAAGGACTCGGCATCCTTCTCCTGGTGGTCCCTCCAACTTGTCCTGTCTGCCCAAGAAGGAAGGCAGATGTTGAAGAAGTGTCTGACTCTGCTGACCGTGTAGGCAGAGGAAAGGTTGCCTTCATTCACTCCCCCACTCAGCCCTGTCAACTGTCCTCCCACAGGGGTGTACGCCTCAGGTTCCTGCTGCTCACTCCTCTCTCCCAGCTTGTCCAATCAGAAGAACCCCTCGGCAAGGACCCCCACGTGGACATGCATCTCTTGTTATCACGCATCAGTAGTTCCCCAAGCACTTTTAAGCTAGACTTCCACCTGCTTAGTTGCCAGCCCTGCATGGCCCTGTTGACCAACCTAGCTTTACCCCTTTGCCTCAACGTTCACACACTAAAGCAAGACTAGAACACCTGTAGTTGCCTGTAAATGGGGTGTTGTGCCCTCCTCCCATGCTTCTATATGGTTCCCTTTGCCTGGCCTGGTCTTCCCTTACTTGGCTCTTATTAGTTAGAATCAACTCAACTTTGACATTGTGCCTTTCGCAAAACTGCTCAGCCACTTGTGATGCAATTTCTCATGCTATTCTCTGCTCCGCTGCTATGTACATGCCCGTCTTTACACACACCCCACGGCGTTGTATTTATCACTTACATGTTTCTACATCTGTCTCCTATACTATTGGGTTGTCAGAAAAATCATGGCACGTTTTTACATAGAAAAACATGGAAGAATACATGATGATGTTTCTGATGACCCAGGAGATTCATAACTTCATAAGGCAGTGAGCACATGTCCTGTTCACCTCTGTATCTCAGCACCTAATAGGGTTCGGTACGTGGTTAGCACTCGGTAGATACTGGGTGAATTAATGAGTAATTCCAACATGTAGTGAAATGCTATAGTTCTTTTCATATGAAGAAATGGGAATAACACCAAAGACCCTAGCTAGGTAGAGGGCTTATACCGTGGTTTGGTAAAATGTGTTGCTGTCATTTCTTGGGGGCCTTCTGTGTTCATATGCACATCCATGTGCTTTAAATTTACCATCTCTAATACAATCATCTGAAAAGCAGACATCGTCGTTCACATTGTGCAGACAAAGAAACCGAGGTCCACGGGTCACACGTCTTTTAGTGGCAGAGCTAGGATTAGAGCTCAGAGCTCCCAGTTCACAACCAGTGCTCTGTATACCTCCTTACCCTCTGTCTCTGGGAGAACGAAGAGCCTTTGCAGGTCTAGAGCTCCTCTTGTAGCCATAGAATTGGTCCCCTTACCACCCTCTCTCCCTAACGAAATGGACAAAAATGAATTGGCCTTGTTCCTGTGCCTGGCTACCAAGGAGCTATGGGTAGGGCCCAGTGGGTTCACGTGACAGTGAGTATTTTGAAATGTGTGTTGAAAGCTCAGTCACAGGATTTGCTAACTTTTCAGGTAAAGCCAATGGGAACGCATATGTGGCATCGAGTGTTTGCATTGCTGTCATCATGGTGGGCATTTTCTCAGTGCGTTACTTCCGGCAAAAGTGAGTTGGTTACGCCTGCCAATTTGGTAAATGTATTTTCCCTAAAAAATAATGGTAATAGCTGTTGCTGCTAGGGAAATCGACACTGTCATACTTTGCTGGTGGCAGACTAAACCTCCTCAGCCTTTTTGAGCAATAGCCCATGTCAAATTTTTAAAAATATGCCTTTTCACCTAGCAATTCCTACCTTGAAGTGTATTCTAAATATACCATAGAGGTATGCATATATTTAGTAGAAATTGTGTTCACTGAAATATTGTTCATAAAAGGAAAATATTTGAAATGATCTAAATGCCCAACGATTGTCTGGTTAATTGAATCATGATATACCTCATTCTCTAATATATCATGCATCCATGAAAGATAATGTAGAAGAAAAGGGAATGGTATGAATGGCACTTGCTATCTTATATTTAGAAAGCCGGTAGCAAAACAGTATGTACTTTTCATTTTTTTAAAATATGTATACACACATTCATATGCAAGATATTATCAGTTGGCATTAAATTTGGTTTTCCATAATATAAAAGCCAAAATAATATGACTTAAACTAACTAATGCTTTCTCACCCTGGTAAAGGAAGTAAGCCCAAGTAAAGAGTGGATGTGATAGCTCCAGGGTCATCAGAGACCCAGGCGCCTTCTGTTTTTCTGTTCCACTCTCCTGACACCCTCCTCAAGTGCACAGCCTCAAGGTCCAGGCTGCAGAGGCCATAGCCATCCCACTTGCATTTCTGGGGCACAGGAAGAAGGAAGGAAGGTACATTTCCCATTTAAGGAACCTCCAATAAGTCACACATGACACTTTTGGCTACATCTCATGGTCAGAATGTAGTGAAGCAAGTGAGGATTAAAATTGTGGCCTTGGTGCCAGCAGGTGGCATGGGGGTTGAAGCATTCGACTCTCACATAGCAGACCATGGTTCAAGTCCTGGACTGGCAGCTTGCTTTCTCACTTTCCCTCTCTCTGTCTCTCTCTAGTCAAATTTTTTTTAAAAAGTAACAATAATGAACAAAATTAAATAATTTTTTTTAAATGGTCTCTTGGCTGGGTTCATTGTTGTCTCAGTAAGTTAGGGTTCTGTCTCTAGGGAAGAGATAGAAATGTGTATTGAATGGCAATTAACAATTTCTGCCCTAAGGATATGTACCACAATGTTAATGGTATTTATATCTGAAGACAGAGTCATAGGTGATTTTTTAAAAATGTATATAACATATAATTTATATAATTTTTATTAATTTATATCATTATTTTCTAAAAATCATCTTAGAAAAGCTTTACTTTGTAAAGAATTTTATTTTCCTGTCAGAAGGCCTGTGTACTTACCAGAGAGAGACAGGGAAACAGAGAGAAGGAGAGGGACTGATTGTGCACAATCCCTTTTTCTTCGTCTCTCCACTCTGTTGGAATTTTGGGCACACATGCACACACTCATTGTATTTTTCAGGCCATCGGGGTTGGGATTCAAACCACGTGGTCAGCAATGTGAGCTCTGGGGCCTACAACTACCAGGCCATGGGGCTGGCCTCATTAAAAAAAAAAAAGTAATGAGCTAGTTATTCAACATATAACTTTCTTCAGATGCTGTGTAAAGTAATAGAAGAGGTCAAAATAAATTTAGCTCAAAGTCATTCTACCAACCATTGAACTTGTCTGACAGCTTTACATTTATTGAAGATCCAATGTATGATAGACACTTCAAAACAGAGCTCTCATTAGGGAAACTTGGAAAAAGTTTAACTTAAGAGTCAGTGAGGATCACATGCATCCCCTTCATGGAAATACTGAAGATCAGTTGGAAAAAGATTACACCCTTGTATTTAAAAAGGTGTTGGGGAGGACCAAAACACAGCGCACCTTTGATGAAATTGTCTATTTCTCTCCCAACCGATAGTCCTGAAATAAGGCATCCAGATTGGTGGGAAGCTCTGCTCCACACAGTCATTCAGGGATCCAATTTTGTTCCATTTTATTGGCCCGTAATCCCTTGGGCATTGTCCTCATTTGTAGGATCTATATTAGATCACAGACACCTCTGTTCACACTTCTTTGGAGAAAAACTAATGTCATGGTCACATCATCTCTTACTTTCAAAAGGTTAGACAAACTGTAGAAATTTACCTTTCTTTTTAAACATCAAAGCTTATTAAAGTCAACTCTAAAAATGTTTTATATTGGTTTTGAACTTTTAAAAAGCAATTAAAGTACTTAAATCACCTGCTATTTTAAGAAACGTTTTTAGGATTTTTTTTTCCTTCCACATCCTGAAAGAAGTATATTGCCTCTGATCACCAATACAACCTCTATAAGCAACTCAGATATCTTCAGATATTTACTTCTTTCTTGGCATTAAAAAAGAATGGTTACATTACAGTTACCATTTTGTACCTTTTTCATTTTGATTTTTTATAAGAATTATTTTAATTAACTTTATTTATTTATTTATTTAAATTTGATCAGAGAGGGACACAGCAAGAGAGAGAGAAAGCAACAAAGCAATCCACCAGGTCTGGGACTTGAACTGTGGTCAGCCACAGGGGAGTCTAGTGCCCTTAACGTCACCTGCCAGCCCTGTACATTTTTTTAAAAAATATTTAATGTTTAGCTGAATGATTTATCTGGCATTACAAGCTCTTTGAAATATTCTAATTACCTAAATAGCAAGTTCCCCAAGGGTTAGGACCAGGTCTTCTTGTCAGCCACAGGGGAGTCTAGTGCCCTTAACTGCCACATCACCTGCCAGCCCTGTAACTTTTTTTTTTTTTTTAATATTTATAGTTTAGCTGGATGATTTATCTGGCATTACAAGCTCTTTGAAATATTCTAATTACCTAAATAGCAAGTTCCCCAAGGGTTAGGACCAGGTCTTCTTGCTTGCTGTTCCACCCCTAGCATGAGGCCCTGTGCTGGTCACATATTAGGGTTGAACAAATGGGCGGCTGGGTACTGATAGACTGTGAAACCTTAGAATAAAATTGCATGGCTTATGTAGCAACCCAAAATGGTTGTAACTTTACATGACTCCACCGGCAATCTAACTTCACAGGTAGAGGATACATCATCTCTGTCTTTCAGTGTTTACAGTTAAAATCACTTGCATGCAAAAGCAACGCCTCTCCTATGCTGAAATCACTGCCTAAGAACCTATGCTTGCATGCTACTATGTACACGCTAAACCAGATTTCATTGTTTTCTTTACTATAGGATATTTGTTCTCTTTTCGGCTCTCAGATCTCAGTCGTGGAGCCCTAAAATTCCAGACCCAGCAAACAGCACTTGGGCCAAGAAATATCCGACCGTGGAGGTAAGGTATAAGCGTTAGTAGTCAGTCACCATGGTTCTGGAGTTGATTACATCCAAATTGTCCACTGTAGTGGCAGGGAGTCTTGGGTGCTGAGACTCTGGGTAAGCTGAAATCACTCCTGCTAAGGTACCTCTGAGTCAGCACGCCCAGCTCCCTCCCTGAACTCAAGCAACCTGTGCACGGAAATTTTCTTATGGTCAGAAGTCTAGAAGACCCATAGTGGTTTATTCCTCTCTATGCCTTATCTCCCCCTCATTTTACAACCTGTGTACGGAAATTTTCTGAAGCTTATGGTCAGAAGTCTAGAAGACCCATAGTGGTTTATTCCTCTCTATGCCTTATCTCCCCCTCATTTTACTTAAAAAAAAAAAAAAAAAGAAGAAGAAGAAAGCAAGTGTGTTTGCCATTTGCTGAGCACTGTCCTGAGCACTGACTCATCCAAAGTCAAGAGAAAGAAGCTTTTGACTTTCCAATCCTTTTTGAGCATAGAACAGATAAATAGAACTCACACAACTGTAGTTCTGGGGGGAAGCCAGTAAGTCATTCTACTGTGCCAAAAAAGAAATTAAAAAGTATGTGTGAGGAGGCCAGGAGATGCTTAATGGTTATGTCACTGGACTCCCACAGAGTCAACCACTGTTTGAGCCCCAGATGCAGCAACTTAAAACTCACACTGGGCGTGTGTGCCCAAAATCACGAGAGCAGCAGGGATTGTGCTGTGGCCAGGCCCCTGTGGGGCAGATGATTTCTTTCTTTCTGTTTCTCTGTGTCTCTCTGGTGAGTGCATGTGCCCGATAACAAAAATCTCTTGTACGAAAAAATTGTAGGGCCAGCAGGTGGCATGGTGGTTAAGGCACTGAACTCCCACATGGCTGACCATAGTTCAAATTCTCGACCTGGTGGCTTGCTTTTTTACTTTCCCTCTCTCTCTTTCTCTATCTCTCTCTGGTGAGTGCATGTGCCCTATAGCAAATTTAAAAATAATAATAATAATAAAATTAAATAAATGATTCTTTAAAAAATTTGCTATGGGAACCAGCAGTTAGCGTAATGGCTATGTCACTGGACTCCCACATAGTCGACCGCAGTTCGCGTCCCGGACCCGGTGGCTAAAAAAAAAGCGTGCGTGCCCAAGATCCCGAGAGGAGAATGGAGGAGAAGGGATTGCAGCATGACCATCCCCCCTGGAGGGTGATTTCTCACTTTCTGTCTCTCTGTCTCTCTCTCTCTCTCTGTCTGGCGAGCGCACGCACCCTATAGCGAAAACCTCTCCAAAAAAAAAAAAAAAAATGCTAGAAGGAATGTACAACATGCTGGAGAGAGACACAGGGGCTTAGGGGAAGCAAATATCCCCTCCTCCTATTAGGGATGGCCACACCATGGTCACTTCTCCTCCATTGAAATTTTGGGCACGCACGCATGCACTCAGTGTGTTTTTCAAGACTCTGGGTCCGGGATGCAAACCACTCAGTTGGGTATGTGGGATTCAGCCACAGTAACCACCGTGCCACTGGCAGGCCCTTTTATTATTTTTATTGTTTAATGTTTTGCCAGAGGACGCATGCACTCGCCAAAGAGAAACAAGAAAGAGAGAGACAGAGAGTGAGAAAGCACTCCTCCTGGGAAATGGTCACACTGCAATCTCGTCTCCATTCTTCTTTCAGGATTTTGGGCATGCACACACATGCACCCAGTGTGCTTCTTAAGCCACCATGTCCAGGACTCCAACCACAAAGTCAGCCATGTGGGATCCAACTTAACCACTATGCCCCAGGTTGACCCAAAAATATTGAAGAAGGATAAGTTGCTTAGCTGGGGGATGAGAGAGCTGAGAGTAGAGGAAGCCATGGGATTTCCCACTGCCCAGTAAAAGCAGGTGAGAACAGCTCATAGTGGGCAAGACGGGTCATCTTGTGTGGAGGGTCTAGAGGTTGAATGCAAGTGAGCATAGACAAGACTGTGACGCCAAGTGAGCAATAGGGGAGGGAGGAGGCCTGCCTAGAGCCCCAGACTCTTTCTCAGCCTTCAGCCTTTCTTTAAGATGCTTCTGAGCTGGCAGGTGGCGTGGTGGTTAGAGGTGCTGGATCCCCACATGGCCAACTGTGGGTCAAGTCCTGAACCTGGGAGCTTGCTTTCACTTTCTCTACCTCTCTCTCACTCTGTCCCTCTCGGTCAAACTAACTAAATAACTAACTAAATAACTAACTAAATAAATACATAAAGTTAAATAAAATAATTCTTGAAAAATAAAAAAAAGATGCTAATCTTCAATTACTCAGTTAATTCTGCCATCCACACCCTTCCCTAGGCCAGAAGCCAGTGATCCCAGCCTTTGCCAGGCCAAGAGCTGATACTAGCCATTCTGCCTTAGGAATGTAAGTCACTATGGTGCAGTGCCTTTGGAATCTGGCCTGGAGGCCAGCCTTGCCTCTGCCACTTACTGTGTGTGTGACTCTTGGGCAATTTGCCCAACTATCTGAGCCCTGATTTCATCTTCCATAAAATAGGACTTGACAATACTTCCCCTGTATACTGTGGTGAGGATTAAATAAGACGCATGTAAACCATATGGGTCCTACGGAACAAAGAGCATTCGCTTTCTTCCCAGGAAGACCCATAGCTTGTCTACTGAGGGATTTTGTCCCTATTTAGTTACAATGGCAAGAAATGCGATAATCACAGCTAAACACACACACGCTATATGTTGTATATGGTACATGTAGTATATATGGTATATACAGACTTACATGAGGTGTTCATATATAGGCTCTCACTTGGTAATATTGCAATTACTTACAGGAACACACTCTGTAAGCCTCATAAGGATGTCACTGCTCGTGTTTGGGGATTCTAGGACCCAGAGTTCAACTTTAAGATTCCAGTGCTGAGATTCCACAGTTCCATGTCCTAAAAGCCTGAAACAGCATGATGGACAGCAGCTCTGGGTCAGTCATGGACACCTGGTTTCTGTGCTGGTGTGTTTGACATCATGGGCTCTCTCTGCCTCTGCCTGAGGGCTACAGAGGTATGCAGAGCCACTGAAAGGCCCAAAAAGCCAATGGGGGCTGGCAGGTGGCATGGTGGTTAAGGGCACTGGACTCCCACATGGCCAACTGTGGTTCGAGTCCTGGACCTGGCAGCCTGCATTCTCACTCCCACGCCCCTCGCTCTGTCCCTCTCTGGTCAAATTAAAATAAATAAATAAATAAATAAAGCTAAAAAAAACCAATTCTTTTTTTTTTTCTTTTCTTTTCTTTTTTTTTTTTTTTGAGAGTGCATGCTATAGGGCGCATGCACTCACCAGAAAGACAGAGAGAGACAGAGAGACAGAAAGCGAGAAATCACGCCCCCCCCCCCCGCAGG